AATATTAATATAAAATGTTATAAAAATCTATGATTCTTAGATGGGACTGTGGGCCAAATCAAAGGTTACAATGGGCCAACTTTGGCCAGCAGGCCCTACTTCGGGCATCTCTGGCATAGAGAAACGAGTTTAGAAATTGTAATGCAGTTTTATGTGTATTTTATAGGTCTAATTGTGTATAATAAATAAACTAATACCCAATACACTTCCACAATTTACTTCTAAACATGTCAAAATACCCACACAGTGGAAGCTGCAAAGACTTATCTAATATAAACCAAACGGGAGAATTCTAGTGTCTATAGCATGACACTGGTTCTATAGGATCTGATGTTATATCTACACTTAGATATAAAAGTTAAATACTCAATTAGTAGTTTTCACAAATTCTCTCATGTTTGACACGACCCTTTATTATTACTATATTTCTCTGCTATACATGCACCTCAGTATTATATTGGGTCAACAGTTTAATGTAAGATAAAATGTCATTATTCCTGAATGTTTAGTATCCATTCCCTTTATTTTATTTTAGGACATTGCATTTCTGCTTTCCTTTATTTGTGTTTTCTTGCTATTTTCATTACTGTCAATGATTGTATTACAAATGTGTGTTCAGGCTTTGTTATACAGGGTTTATATTAGGGTTGCACGGTTTACCGGTACTATGGTAGTAGTATCGTGATACTACAGCTTCACAAACGGTAGTATCGTCATTAATGGTCTATCCCAAAATAGCAACAGGAAATATTTCGACCACTTCATTTAGGCAAGGCAAGGCAAGGCAAGTTTATTTATATAGCACATTTCATACACAGTGGCAATTTAAAGTGCTTTACATAAACAAGAATAAAAGAAGCAAGTAAAATAAAAATAAAAACAAATAATAAAAATGAGTAAAAAATAAATAAATAAATAAAAATAAATTTAGCCTAATTGTGTTGGAAAATGCTTTTACAAATTTTATTTGGTATAATTTGTATCTTTATTTTAATGTATTATTTGTTGGTCACTTATCTACAAAATAAACAAACAAAACGAATACATTTTAGGTGAAGTGCAAATAATACCTTTTTCATCAATAAGGGAATTATGAATTAACATCAAATAGGCCTATTATAACATATAAAACATAGTATTTCTGGCAATTTACTTTATAATTTGAGTTTTGAATTAAAGTATCGCAATACTAGGTATCGTGATACTTCAGCTGGTATAGTATTTAAATTCATATTGTTAATAGGAAGCTATACAATATTATATTTGTGCATATACATTAGATTAGTCAGTATCTGGAGCTTATCCAGCAAAATAACTTACGATAACGGTCCAAAAACTAGTATTAAAATTAATATGCTATAGAAAAATAATAAATGCAAATTTAAAAAAAGAGGAAAAATCAGGAGAAGCAAAAAAACGAAAAAAATTAGTTGAAATCGTGTAGGTTGTAATTTGTTTTGCAATATTTTGCTTGAATTTAATGTATTATCTTTCAATTTCTAAATATTGTTAATAACAAAAATATTATTTTCATAAATATATCTGTTTAAAAAATCTGTTTTGTTTAAATGCACCAAACTACACCTATATTCACTGACAAATGAAGAAACATATTCATTATAATCAATCTCTATATAAATAAGGACATTTGAGCTTGGCCTAAAAATAAAAGGAAAACAAACAACCAGGAGGGCTGTTCTGAAAGTCAGATGTAATTGTTTCTGAAGACTGTGTGAATAGGGCTGTAACGGCCGTTTAAGCTCTAATAACTCTATTAAACATGAACGCCGAGTATCGGCAGGGGGTCAGACAGTAATTAATAATCACAAAGTACAGTGAATGTTCCCTTACAGTACAGTTGACACAATAACCGCTCTAATATTTGCTCCTCCTGTAGGCATAAAGCAAACAATGTGGACTGACACTAAATACCTTCATGTAAGAGACTCAGTGTCCATTTAAGTATCATGGCACAACAATGCTGTGAAATGGTAAAACCACCCACTGTACACATTTTCCCTATTTGTGTGTGTGTGTGTTTGTGTGTGTGTGTATTATAGATATATAATAAATAATGAAAATACATTTATAGTAATTATAATATAAAAAAACACTCTCCTCAAACCAATGTCTAATATTCAGAACACTGTAAAACCCAACTCAAAATTGACTGAAAGTTAATTCTACTCATTTGAAAAGAGATTTGAACTCAGTGTTGAAGGTAATGATTTAATTAAATATCTTATTACTTCAAGTTAAAAGGAGTAAGTTCACAGTACTCATAGAGTAGTTCTTCTACTCAAATGGTTTGTAGCAATCGGTTTTCTCAAATGGTTTGAGTTGCCTTAACTTTTTGGGGTTTACAGTACTCAGTTGGTTTGAGTTTGCTTCTTTTTTGGGGTTTTACTGTACTCAAATTGCTTCGCTAACTCAAATAGATTAAGTTCACAGTACTCATTAGGATTAGTTTTTGAGCTTAAATGGTTTGTTGAAATCAGTTTCCTCAAATGGTTTGAGTTACCTTTACTTTTTGTGTCTTAACAGTGTAGATATTCCAAAAGTATTCAGTATGTATAGGTATAGATTTTACCAAATGTAATTGTGTAACATTGTTTCCATTGTTATATGTTACAAAGATTTACAATGGATTTACTACAAATTACAATAAATAAATAAGTTTATACTATAGTAAAACCACGATATACACAAATCGATTTGGTTTTGAATGTATTCATGTCAATCTATGGTCATACAATTAGAAATCAATCAATTTAAAGTGTTACATCGAAGACATCTAAGTAGTTCACAGACAACCACTTTTAACTCTACTTTTGATAAGACCTGTATAAGGTGCCACACAAGTGAAGCAGACTTGTCTCACATGTTTTGGATGTGCCCTAAACTTACTCCTTACTGGTCAACCATATTCATCTAAAATGTGTAAGGTACAAGCCATGTGTGAAATTTGCAATGTTTGGCATTGCTCCTGATGAACTGAGTCTGACTCAAGGACAACAAAACATTATAGCCTTTGCATCTTTACTGGCTCGCAGGCATATTTTATTGCACTGGAAATCTTTAAATCCATTTTAAGCATCACACTGGCTTCAGGATTTAATGTTATATCTACACTTGGGAAAATGAAATATTCAATTAGAGGTTTTACAAATTCTCATCTGTTTGGTAACCCTTGTTATCTTATTTCTCAGCTATAAATGTAATTCCTGGGGAATAATCTGACTTATCTTGTATTTAACTAGTTTCCCTTTCTTTTCTCCTTCTGTCCAGACCCTCATGCATATTAGATTAGATTAGATTCAACTTTATTGTCATTACACGTGTACAAGTACAATGCAACGAAATGCAGTTTAGGTCTAACCAGCAATGCAATAGCAGCAAGTGCAGGATACAGGAATAAGTTATAAAGTGCAGTTATAGAACAACTATAATGATATTTACAGTTGGATGTACTATCAACATTTTATATTCAGGTTGTATTAACTATGAAGAGAAATTTACAATCAATGAATATATGTACAGGTTGCTATTAATATATGTGCTCCATTGTAAATAAAATCAAAATAGCACATGCCTGATTGTATATTGTTGTCTATTTATTTACTTATTTATTTACCATCTTATATTATACAATTTTGCAATTTTTTCTATTGTTATTTCTTGTGCCGTTACTATTCTTATTATCATTATATTAGGCCATGTGTTTAGGGGTTCTTGAAGTGGGTTTCTAAAAAAACTTTGTGAATAAACAATGATATCTGTACTTGGCATAAAAATAAAGGAAAAAAAAAAAGGAATCAATGTGCCAAAAACATAATTAACCTTCAACACATTTACAGCAATACAAACACTGTATGTTTTAAGTGCTTGTTTTTCCTCTGTTTTTATATGTCAAAAAAACACACCTATACTGAACAAATGACATAAAACAATAACATGGTTACAACCAGTGGTGTAAAGTAACAAATTACAAATACTCAAACTACTGTAACAGGGATTGTCATTTACTAAGTAGCTTAAACAATGTTGATTTTTACTTTCCCTTGAGTAAATTTTTAGTGCTGTATTACATTTTGTTTGGAGATGAAAATCGGGTTGACATCAGAACCCGACGTCAATGTCCAACGCCCAACCTAAAATCAACCAAATATTAATGTCAAATGATGTTACAGCTTGATGTTGTGTGGATGTTATCACTATGACATCTATTAGACGTTGAATTTTGGTTATCATGACAAATAAATGTTAGCATTTGATGTCAACATGACGTTGGTTTAAGATGTTGGTTCGACATTGGATTTAGATAACTTTAGTTAAACAAAATCAACCAAATATCAACATCATTTGACGTCGTTATTGAACATAAAAAAAAAAAGTTGTGCATAGATGCTGGCTGGACATTAAATTTCGGTCACCTGACATCACAACCTAAATCTAACCTAATATTAAAGTCTTAATACATTGTGTGCCCGAGGGGCAATAACTAAATAAAATTGCACTACAGAATGTTACGTTCACACACATCCACAAATTACATGTAAATGCATCAGCTTTTTACAGCGTAATACTCACTTCTCCCTACTCATGAGTCCTTTAAAAGGGCTACTTTGAGAAATATTTACAACAGATACTTTTCCTCTTGCACTACACTTTTAGGCAAGTAATGGTACTATAACTAAAGCATGATTTTTCAGGACTCTTTCCTCCACTGGTTGTAACTGACATAATACATACCCAAGAAACTTTTTTATCAGTGAACGGCCTTATATAATTCAAACATGACATGCTCGAGCATCCTCCATCCACATGTTCACCCATTCTCCGAAACACTTGAGATGATTACTAATAAAACGTGTCCTAAGATCACCTCCTCCGCCAGGATTGGACATTTAACACGAGGGAAGAGGAGGAGCGACTGAGAGGCACACTACACACTCGCACACAGCTCAAATCACGGTAGTAAAGCTCCTCAGCGTGTAACAGGCGGATCTCAGACAGTTTAGACGAGAATTGTTACTAGTGAAGCCCTTCAGCGGGACATCCTGAAGTTACACGCGTCTCCAAAAGTCGAATGAATACCGTTCAAGTCCGCGCGTGGAAAAGAAATAAGGTAAAGTCACAGGCTACCACTCTTTTTGAACACATGGTTAGACATACATGTATACAACAAACAGACGTACGGTCTACATTGAACTGCTTTGTAGCAAAATATTGATGTCAAGCACATTCATGCTAAGTTGACTATGTAAAATAGACTATGTTAAGTTTTAAGCGCAGGAAATGCACGTCGGAAATAGCTCGCTACTACAAAACTGACTGACTTTTAATGAATATTTCATCATGACAGGACTTGTAGAAATAAATTTAGTAGCCTAACTGCGGTGTTTTATGAGGTTATTGTAAATTTTAATTGAGGTGACAAACTTAATGTTGTGTTGGCTGTTAAAATCCTTTTTAAAGATTGGCTTGGTTGGGTTTTTAAAATGAAACTATTGTCTAGTTTACTCATTATGTGTAAAACACTTTAAATATGTCAGAAAACTATAAATGATCATCACAAATAATAACTTTATATATATTATAATAAAAGTGTAATAACCATGGTGTTTTGGCAGATTTATTTACATTTGTATAACCACAGTTTTACTACTACAAAAAAACAAGGTTTTACTATAGTTGGTTTTATTTGTAATTAAACCATGGTTAAAAATCCTAAATCAAACAAAAAGTGCTCAGGGGTAGCTTAAATAATGTGTCGGTGCTCTTTGGGTAGGGCATTTATCAGAATAAACAGCAAAAATCAATCCAAGGCATTTGAAAAATGTTGAAAAAAATATTTAAAAAAGCATTTATTGAAGTGGCTATTACTTGAACAATAGTTAATTTTCATACTATAGCTGTCATATTAATTCTCTGTCAGACTTTGCTGTATTATGTTTTGCATAACTCAAATGATGAACTGATAACCAAGAGCAGTAACTTCATCTGAGATCAAAGGCGGCGGCGATCAATCATTTCCCATGAATCATTTGCCATTGTACTGAAAGACAGAACAATCTCAAGGTAAACGGAACTCTGTAATGCTTTATTGCTGTTTAACAAACGATTATGGGTTTACTGCCGTCCAAGGATAAAGCTGGTTCCAAGTGTAATTGCCCTAACTATGATGTATCCACTGTCTAATTATATGTTGAGGATTTTTAAACACTGCTGAACAATAGGGGTTTCAGAGAAATATCAAATGAACGGTTGAGGAAGATTTAAGAAGTTAAAGGAATATTTCACCCAAAAATGAAAAATTACTCACTATTTACTTATCCTTAAATGGTTTCAAACCTTTATGAGTTTCTTTATTCTGTTAAACACTATCAAAATATTTAGAAGAAAGCCGAAATCCTGTAATAATTGACTTCCATGGTAGGAAAATCAAACACAAATACAAGTCAATGGTTACAGATTTCTTTAAATGATCTTTTTTTGTGTTTAACAGAAGAAAGTCAAGTAGGTTTGAAACAAGTAAATGATGATGGCAATTGCACTTTTGGGTGAACTACAACTTAATTTTTTTTAATTAAAAATGATTTCAAATAACACCTTAAATTCTTTCTTTTGTGGTTTTTTTTTCCAGTTCAAAGATGTCTGTCAGTAATCACGAGAACAGAAAGTCCAGGTCAAGCTCTGGGTCCATGAACATCCAGCTGTTTCACAAGACGTCACATGCAGACAGCCTACTTACTCACCTCAACCTCCTCCGTAAGCGGCGTGTCTTCACGGATGTAGTCTTGCGTGCTGGGCATCGAGTTTTCCCATGCCACCGTGCAGTTCTGGCATCATGTAGCCGCTACTTTGAGGCTATGTTCAGTGGTGGCTTGAAGGAGAGCCGAGATGCCGAGGTCAATTTTCATGACTCTTTGCATCCTGAGGTGCTCGAGCTCCTGCTAGACTATGCCTATTCAGCCCGAGTGATCATCAATGAGGAAAATGCAGAGTCTTTGCTGGAAGCAGGCGATATGCTCCAGTTCCATGACATCCGTGATGCAGCTTCAGAATTCCTGGAGAAGAACCTGCATCCGTCCAACTGCCTTGGGATGATGCTTCTGTCTGATGCTCACCAGTGCCAGAGGTTGTACGAACTATCCTGGCGAATGTGCCTGGCGAATTTTGCTAATCTCTACCACACTGAGGACTTCCTAAGCCTGCCCAAAGATAAAGTTCAGGAGCTTGTTTTTAGCGAGGAATTGGAAGTTGAGGATGAAAGTATTGTCTATGAGGCTGTTATTGACTGGGTTAGAGCAGACATTGGGAGGAGACACCTTGACCTTCCTGATCTTTTACGTTGCGTTCGCCTTGCCTTGCTCCCAGAAACATACCTGCTAAAAAACGTGGCATCTGAGGAGCTTGTCATGGGACACAAGGTGGGTCGTGAGATTGTGGAAGACGCAGTTCGTTGCAAAATGAAGATCTTGCAGAATGATGGAGTTGTCACAGGTTTCTGTGCCCGACCCCGGAAGGTGAGCCAAGCCCTTCTGCTTCTAGGGGGCCAAACTTTTATGTGCGACAAAGTATACATGATTGATCACAAGGCCAAGGAGATCACCCCTAAAACAGACCTTCCAAGCCCTCGTAAAGAGTGCAGTGCTTGTGCCATTGGCTGTAAGGTGTACGTCACAGGTGGTCGAGGCTCTGAAAATGGGGCTTCAAAAGACGTTTGGGTCTATGACACTCTGCATGATGAATGGTCCAAAGCTGCACAGATGCTTGTTGCTCGATTTGGGCATGGTTCGGCAGAACTTGACCACATCCTGTATGTAGTAGGTGGACACACATCCCTTGCAGGGTCATTTCCTGCTTCTCCATCTGTGTCTCTCAAACAAGTGGAGCAATACAACCCCCAATCCAACAAGTGGACTCTGGTAGCTCCTCTTCGAGAGGGTGTGAGCAACGCTGCGGTCGTTGGGGCCAAAAACAAACTCTTTGCTTTCGGAGGGACTAGTGTCAACAGGGACAAGTATCCCAAAGTTCAGTGCTTTGACCCCTGTGAGAACAGGTGGACAGTCCCGGCCACTTGCCCTCAGCTTTGGCGTTACACAGCGGCAGCAGTTGTTGGGAACCATGTTGTGGTCATCGGCGGAGATACAGAGTTCTCCGCCAGCTCTGCTTACCGCTTCAACAGTGAGACGTTCCAGTGGACCAAGTTTGGCGATGTGACCTCAAAGAGAATCAGCTGTCATGCAGTGGCGTCAGGGAATCGCCTGTATGTGGTCGGAGGCTACTTTGGGGCCCAGAGGTGTAAAACGTTGGACTGCTATGACCCCTCGACAGACTCATGGGACAGTATAACAAGCGTACCCTATTCGCTTATCCCGACAGCATTTGTCAGCACCTGGAAGTACCTCCCCTCTTGAAGAAAATACATCTCCTATTTGGTGAGTATTGTCCAGTGTAGGGCTGCACAGTATTTTTAAAAATGACATTCCGATATTTTGTGTTGTATATATTGAGATATGACATCTATTTCACCAGATGGATTGAATATCTCTATTTGTGAATTCATTTTTTCTGAATGATTGGGGTGATGTTGTAGGGGAGTGCATCGGCATACATTATTATAAACTAGTTTGATGTACAGTATTTATATTTTTTGTATGTCTTATTGGTAGTTGTACACAAATATTTAAAAAATCAAAGGTAAAATTGGCACTTTCCAGTCTTTACTTTATATACGAAATGCAACAAATCTTTGTTAAAGCTAAAATGTTATTGTTTCTTGTGCCTGAATGCACTTATGCAAATTATACATTTTAATTCCACATGGGTTATACTTTGACATTCATCTATAAGTTACATGCTTTCCGAACTGTGTCTCCTCCAGTTTAACAATAATCCCTACTTGACATTGAAGATTCATGTCCAGCGCCACTGTTCTGAACTAACTGACAACTTTGCTTGGACTCCGAGCCCTTTCAGATGTATAAAACAGTCATTTTGTTTGTTCATGAAAAATGTCTAACCGTAATTAGTGTTGTTGGGTGTCAAATAAAGACAAAATGTTCCTTAATAGTTCGAAAAGGAATGTGGCAGCACAAATTACAGAGTGAAACGTGTCTCTCTGGGGTGTACAGGCTTTTCCAAATGCTTCCAGCTAGAACGGGATCAGGTTCATGCTTGTAGTTCTGCCTTTGGCGAGGCCTGTACCATTTTAGCACACTGCTTCACCCAAATAAACGTACATTTTTGCGTACTTGGGTTGTTTAGAAATCGTCCATCTTTGCTTAATAAATGTCAGGGCTAATTGTTCTAGCATGCTTACACAGTAGCCAGACAGATAACAAACTCTATGGTTTCCCATAGACTAGCGATGTTTAGAAAAGGTGTGTTTATTTGAGTATGAGGCCTGATGTTTGGCAGGAAGATTCAAGGATGTATACTGGAACCTTTCAACTCATTAAAGGACGTTTTTATGGGGGGCCCAGGTCTTTGTTGTAAAAATGAAAGGCCTTTACTTGAAGAATTCACAAGTACTGCTAAAAACTTGCACTAGTCCAGCTTCTGAAACAGCTTGTCTTGTTTAGCACACTCGCAAGTTGTTACCGAGAGCTCAGTGCTCCCTTAATGGAAGGAAGCCTAGGGGAACTGCTGTTTGCCCTTCCTCAATAATAAACAGATGGTTTGGGTGGAGACTGGCAGAAAAGAGCCTGCGAGGCCCTCAGATCTGCACGTCTGCATCTGACAAGTCCTTCTTTGAGAGTGCAGAACGGTGCAGCTCTTTTGAATGCCACTAATTTGCCGTTGATTTTTGCACAGAATAGCCTTGTCAGAAGAGGCATGTGGCGTAGGGTGCAGCTATATTTTGCACTGTTTGGCAGCCAGCAGCTTAAACCTAAAAATACACATTGCTTCAGAAGCTGTCATCTTGTAACAGGGCGAGGGAAAACAAATAGAGAAAATCTCCTTCTCTTTGATGTTCATTTTTTTTTTGCCACAAGCCGACTTCCAGTACACTTGGACGCGCATCAATCTGAAGGTGTAGACTCTCTGATAATTTCTCACCAGTGAGTCGCACCCATTTAAACGGAGATAAGTTTCTTTTTCTATTGTCGCTGCATATCAGCGCAGTGAGTCACTGTTTGACTTTGAGTTGTAGTTAACTGTTGAGATATTCAGAGGAATGCAGTTCACCCGGCACACTCTTTATAACCCATCCTTATAATTCTGACATACTTTTAACTTTAATTACTCTATGATGATCATTTTTTAAGCTTATTTCCGTCATGGATTTAAAAAAGGTAACTTGTTTGTTTTTTATCTTTAAGTTCTGACGTTAATTTGTACAGTTGTAAATGTATAGAATCGTGACTTTGTATTTCACAATTTAAATCTCGCAAATTCTGTGAGGAAAAAGAATTGAGAGAAAAAAACAAAATGAGAAAAAAAGTCTGAATTACTTTTTAAAATTTGATCCTCTTGGCGAAACTGGTTTCTGTTTGTTTGAAATCTGCAGCCTCTCAACTAATATAGCACCAATAGCCTCAAGGCTAACAGAAAAGACAGCCACAAAACTTTGCGGTTTAAGATGGATCATGTTTGAAATACCCTGCTGGCATAGTATTCGTGTAGCGTATATCATGTGTACAGTGTGCAGTATGCCAATGTGTATTGAGCTGTAAACTGTGTCTCATAAATAATGCACGGTACTTGATATGATCTTCCATTTCCAGTTTCAGCAATGAATTGGATTTGATATCATATATTTCATCCCTGTTTGACTCATTATTTGATATGACTACCAAATGAGAAGACATTTTCGACTGTTTTATCACAAAAACATCCCCACCTCATGAAAATTAATCATGGTTTTACTACAAATGAACAACAAAAACTTAAAGAAAATATTTTTTTTTGTACTACTAGTAGTAAAACAGATGTAAATTAACCATGCTAAGCCCACCGTGCTCTGTAGTAAAACGGGTATACAAATAGTAATCAATGCACCATACACCCACTAGACCATTTCAATTGGCCCATGAACATTTCCTGCTAGTTATTAAACTATTTCATAACTGTAACAAGAATCAATTCGATCCTAACTTAATGTTAAAACAGCTGTCATAACATTATCATTATGTGTCTCTTTTTGTATTTTCAGAAGCTATAGGAATTAAAAATGTAAAACAGGAAATACATTGGGACCATTGTTTTTGTTTACATCCCTTAAAAAAGGTCCTTGATAAAACTAATAAAACAATGGCTGATTTTCATAAGGCATCTTAGCTTAAAGCCTATGGTTTAATTACTTTTAAAAAATGCTGTGTTCATTGTATACCATGCAGTTTTTCAAGTAGTACTAATCTAGAATGTAGCCGAAAATCAACATTGTTATGGATGAATTATGTTTCCAGTCTTGAGGCACCTATAATGTTGTCTAGTTGGCAAGACTGGTAATCCAAACTGTAACCCGAGCGCTGGGGAGGAAGTTATCAAGATCCCCTCATGCTTTGTTCAGACTGTAGTAACTGGCACTGATCCAGAGAGCGCCATATGAGTCTCTGTTTGTTGTATATGACACACCTGATCTAGGCCAAGGGTCAGCTCCTCTCTTTCAGGACGGCTTTATAATCCATGGTCAATACTGATGTTTTATTAATGCGCGGCATTTAAACAATCCACCCGAAACGCTAACAAAAGAAAAATCCTTTATTTTAGCACCTGCGTCCATTTTCCTGACGCGCGCGAGTCACCGCGACTCCCGCCAAGCCCCGCGGCGCGGCTAAAGTCTGCGTGAAGTTAATAGAAATTTACTTCTTTGTCCGTGAAAGCGGGACCTGCAGAAAGAAATTGAATGATATAAAGGCTTCAAATTGGTTACCAGCCGTAAATAGATCAAACAGGTCATTCAGGCGGCAACTCGCTTGGTGTAATTAATCAGAATTGCATAATATTTACTGAGGTGAAAAGGTTGCGATTAGCATACAAACCGTCTTTGTTTTTCAAAGCCCGGGGTGCATATTCCGGTATTCATGTTAATTTGGGGGTCAATTCTGTAGGGGGGGGGAGTGAAATGATAAAATATGCACAATAATAAGTCTTAAACCTGTCATCAGATGATTTATAAGTTAACCCTTGCTCAATAGGTTGACTCTTACTCATTAATAAACATTGGCTGAATATCTCGAGGTGCCGCATGGTTTATGCACAGCAAAGCCGTTTGGTGATAAATAAAGTGCTGATTGAGGATTGATCCACTGGAGGAGCTGAAACCGATCAATTGACACAGTGGTATAAACAGCTGTCATTATCTCACCTCTGTGACCCTCATTACAGCTGCTGAAAACCACAGGAAAAAGCCTGAGCTTTGCTTATTTTAGCTATTCATTCATTTTCAGCTTAGTTCCTTTATTAATCTGGGGTCACCACAGCGGAATGAACCATTAACTTACCCAGATAATGTGTTACGCAGCAGATGCCCTTTCAGCTGCAACCCATCATTTGGAAACACCCATACACTCTCATTCGCATACATACACTACGGACATGTGTTGCTGTGAGAAAACCCACAGCAACACATGCAAACTCCACACAGAAATACCAACTGACCCATCCGGGGCTCAAACCAGCAACCTTCCTGCTGTGAGGCGACAGCGCTACCAAGTAACAATTGATGTATTATTTAATACATTTCAAATAAGTAGATAAAAACATTAATAATTTAGCTGATGAAACATGCATTTTGCACTAAAAATGCAGGGTGTATTGATTCAACCTTGGGTCAATTCAATGATGGGTTATTTATTATTAAAAATAAATCTTTTTTTTAACCTAATAGTTGGGTTTGTCAATATTTGACCCATCAGTAATACAACCTGGCATTTTCAAGAGCGTGCTTACAGATAATACTCGTTTTTAATGTTGAAGAGTGATAAATATTAATTTACTTTATATTTTATTATGTGGGCGGGACGTTGGCTCAGTGGTTAGCCTCACAGCAAGAAGGTAGCTGGTTCGAGTTCCAGCAGGGGCCAGTTCTTCTGTGTGCAGTTTGCATGTTCTCCCTGTGTGAATTGAATAAACTAAATTGTCCATAGTGTATGAGTGTGTGTGTGTGTGTGTGTGTGTGTGTGAATGAGCGTGTATGGGTGTTTCGCAGTACTGGGTTGCGGCTGGAATAATTTCTAATTGCGTTTTATTTGTTTATTTATTTTTTACAGATATTGCAATTTGATTTACGATTTAATTCAAGCTTCAAGCTGTTTTAAATTTAATTTAAGCTTCAGCTTAATAATCTTTAAGCTGTGTCAACAAGTCTGCGACAGCTCTTAAAAATGACCTATTTTTGTTCGGTGTCTGAATTTGAAACTTATATTCCCGTATTATAAATACTGTTTTTCTTTGAAATTAATTAATGCTTTTAAATCAGCAGACGCCATTATCCCTCTTGTCAGCGCTTTACTGTTTGTTTTCTTTTTTTATTTGTAGTCGTAGTTTAGTTGCGCAATTCTGATTGGCCAGAACGAAAGTGTGCTTAATTGGCTAGTTATAAAGCCACGATTTATAAATCACTTGATTTCCTTGACGTAGCGTGTCATGGGAAGTCGTAAACAACAAATGGTTGTGACAATATTCAATCGTTTCTTCTCGTGTTATGTGACATAGTTTACGACAACTGATACCATGTTTGCAATGCCTCACGACACCATCACAGAAAGTTCAGCATGTGTAATTTTCTTTAGCATAGCTAACTGATTTTAAAGATGTTATTCGTTATTTTTGTTTAGATATATACATATATTTTTCATATTGTAGCCTCTTGCGATTAACTCATCGCAACATTTCAAATTGCGTTTGGATTTCGATTATTCACACATCCCTAGTTGGAATAGTTGGTGGTTCATTCCATTGTGGCGACCTCTGAAATAGAGACTAAGCCAAAGGAAAATAAAGAAATTTTATTTTGTTACAAGAAAAATATTTATTTGTTATAATTTGACTTACTAAATATTATTTATTAAGTACTTTTTGCATGTATTCTTAATAGTCATTTACAATATAGTTTTTGCCATTAAAATAATAAGTAATTTTAGTAATTCATGAATTTGTGATAAATTAAAATTTATTAAAATATTTTAACTTAATAAAAATGTAAAAAGAAAATCATGAAAAATCCCTGTTTTTTATTCACAAAATAAATATCTTTATTTAAGTGACAAATAATGATTTTAGCAACTATATATATATATATATAAAAATAAAAATATGGCATTTTATTGTCTATTCAGTAGAAATAGTAACTAACATTACAAAATAGCATTAGAAACAATGTATGCACACAATTGACAGCCTATAAAAGCTGCAACTGAACTCCAGACTTCGCAAGAATCCAGCAGAAAAAACCAGCCGGATTTTCCATCTATGTATAAAGTCCATTAAACGCGGGCTGATTGAATCGCAGGCATGCGTCGTGCTCTTTAGACCTGCTTTAATGGAATTTGTGCGAGCTCAAACTGGGTCAAAGGTCACGGGTTGGAGGCCTGATGGATGAACGCTGAAGACATGTTCACTTCAGCGCGGCGTTCATTAAAATAACAGGCTTCGGTTTGTGCAGCGTCTTAAACCAAAGTGTCTGGCGCGTCCAGAAATAACACAAAGGTATGAAGCGCTTGTGTTTAAATAGCAGCGCCTCTGAAGCTGCTGTACTTGAGAAGCATATTTTTAATTCGGCTCGGTGGCAGAAACAAAATAGGCGCTTTCATGTTGTTGTTTTTAGTGACCTCTGACCCCCTGCATGATGTGATGTGAGGGTTATTGATGAGTAAAGCTGGCTGAGTGTGTGTAGATGAGGTGTTTAATTACAGACACACGTGTCCAGAGACTCTGCCGGCTGTGAACTGATCAGCTGGAGGATTTAAGCAGTTTGTTGATGGTATTATGTAGACTTTACAGCACTGTTAACCTTGTTAAACTGTAAATCAGCTGCAATTGTGTCAGTCTGAGAGTTGGCCTATATATATATATATATATATATATATATATATATATATATATATATATATATATATATACATATATATATATATACATATATATATATATATATATATCTATCAATGTATCAGCTTTTAGTTATATTTAGTTAGATTTAGCTTATAGTAAATTCAAATTCAAAATAAATTCAAAATAATTACAAATTAAATAATAATGAAATATTTAATTGATATTGATTAATAACTATTACAATTATAATTTTATTAAATCTGCGTTTTAATATTCCATGGTGCTATATAGATATTAGTTAAGCTTTAGTGAAAAATATTTCCACGTTCCCAATGCAACACCGAAAATAAAACACACTCTATTTTTTTATAGGTCAAATCTTAAAAAGGAAAGGCTTGTTTTATAGGCTGTGGAAAAACATGTCGGGAAAGTGGAAATTAGGCTCGAGTGAACTTCATGAGCTCATTACCTACATGTTTCAGGAGATGAAACACATTTAACGGGCCAGGAACATTTTATAGAACAAGTTTTAAAGCTCTTCTGAAATTAAAAGCAGCTTAACATGCCGAATTTGATCTCATTAGCAGGCGTATGCTCACATGTGCATATTATGAGTTAGAACCGACTGACCAACACAGACTCGGGGCAAATGTGACAATTGAAATAATTCTTATGAATTTTATCTCATTTGGTAGGTTTTAGTGTGATTTGCTCATCACCCAATGATGGTTGGGTTTAGGGGTGGAGTTTGGGTGCCACGCCTCCATTTAAAAAAAAAGTTACGTTTTCATATGAAATAAATTGTCTGAATTCATCTATTTTCTGCCAATCTGTAAGATAGTTACATTTCCTCCTGCGATCAGGCTGAATTGACTGCCAAAAATGTTCATCTTTGAAATTAACATTGAGTAATGAAGGTTGCACTGCACACTTTTTTTTCGGTGCATAAAGGCTCGTACACACTGAGATGCTTTTCAACGTTTTTCAAGAAATTTTTCCGGATTCAAACCCAATTGATTTCCATGGCGTTGAGCAGAAGAGCATGTAAAATCACTCCTTGACGTTAGATTGTGCTGCACAACTTTAAGCTTCTAACACCCGCTTGTAACACAGAAGAAGACAGAAAGTTTTTTATGGATGGTTCAAGTAGCAGTTCCAGCTTTATTAATAAGCAGCTCCACGTTCTTATCGCCTCTAGGCAGCATCTTCAATGTATGCTTGCATTAACAGTTTTGTGGTCGAGCGCCTCCAAGTGTTGTTTACTATAACTTCAGCAGCTCCGTGCACGTGAACAAAAGTGCCAATCTGATTGGTAGAGAAAAAAACCGAGCATTTAAAAATGCCGCTCTAACGCTTGCCGTTTTGCTCGTTAGTGTGCACGATCACATTGATAGCCTTTATTTAGTCACGATAAACGTTGTTAAACGCTGATGGAAAACGCGAGAAAAAACGTCTCTGTGTGCACGGGCCTTAAATCTGGTCAATATTATTATTCAGAAGGTCATGATTCGCACTCATTAAATAATTATTTTGTATAGTTTTCATTTTACATTCTTCAGGTGATACAAAACACAGACATTTCGGCATAATGTCTTCCTCAGTGTGTGACTGAGGAAGGCATTGTGCTGAAATGTCTGAGTTTTAAAACTATACAAAGTAATTAGTTAATGAATTATTTAAAATTAAGAAATTTAATTGATATTGATATTTGTTCATTTCAAATTTTCACTAATTCTTGATGTTTTAATGTTAAATTGGAATATTTTAAATTTAAGACTTTTGTGTTTGTGCAGTTTTCATCAATGTTTCAGTTTAGATGACCATTTTGAGTTTTAAACTGGTGCTAAAAAGCATTTTTGCTTGCCTTGTTTAGTGTTGGTTACTAGGTTACCAATACTATAGTGAGCTGCTCTAACAACCGGATGGAAATGCATATAGTTCAGTATATTTAATATACTGTATTGGCGATTTATTTTTATTTTTTTTTGCAAACTTTGAAAAGATTTGCTTTACGTTGCAATGAAAAGCTGTTTTATAAGGGGAGCTCATTTTTTCACAAAAGTTTAAATGGAATTTTCTATTATCCTCATTTATAAGCGCCACCTACAGGCAGATAATTAATTTTCATTTTCATTCAGCCTGTCTACTGTTTTAGCTTTCTAATGGTATGTTTTAAGAAGTTTATGAAGCTTTATTTTACATTCTGATCTTCCAAGAATGTAAAGTAAAGCTATATAAAGTAATTATTTAATGAGTGCAAATCATGACCGAATGAATGATATTATTAACTAGATTAACACAGCAAAAAGAATAAAAAAAAACGCGAGAGTGCAGTGCAAACTTAATTACTGGATATGTTTTAAGTAGCACAACACAAAGCTAAAGTCAAATCATCATGTGTTTCCTTTATATTTGGGCAGTAAACAATCTAATTTACTGTTTTCAGCCAATTTGCTTCTAAAAAAATCGAATAAGATATCACAATCAGTGCATCATTTACCGCAAGACAAGGGAGATTTTTATCAAGCATTACCTAACAAGTATGTGAATCCTGTGTAGTTCAGCCTGTGTAACTCATTGCCTGTTTTTCCGTCCTCAGATGTTTCGGCATTGGAATGCAGTCGAGTTTCCCCCCCGCAAGGCTTGGGAATGACGGAGGAGGGGAAAGAAAATGCTTTTCCTCATTTACATTCACTGGAAAACAAGCTTTAGGTCAGTCGGGATGGTAAACATGCGTTTCTGATGGCGAAAAGTTACCCACACGAGATCCAGAAAGCATTATGAACGCATGTGTACATAAACTGAACTCTCTAAACTAGCCTGAGGTTCAACAGTTTAAAGTTTTGCTCATTCGTAAACGTAGTAATTATTAACTTTTGTCTCCGGTTACTCACCTTAGTGCATGAAAGAGGGCTCTTTGTGTTCTTGGTAAAACCTGGGTGACCTCTGAAAGAGGAAACAAAACCCAAAATATGTCAAATAACTTCTTTTATATCAGACATGCTACTTTGTAATACACACTCATTCAAAACATTTCTCTGTTTAGCACTGTATTTTGTTATTATAGTGGTAGAAATAGCCAGACTTGGTTAACAGAGAAGTTTAAGTCTTATTTCACTCTTTGCATAAGGAAAATGAAGCTTGATATTATTTTTAAAGCAGTTTTGTCTTTTTTTTCTTTAAGTTCTCAATTCCTTAATGCAAAAAAAGTCATTACCGTTACGAAAAATAATGTGATTTAAATTGTAAAATAATTGATTTACACATATAATTGACAAATGAACATGTTTTTAGGGTGTTTACATTCTGGTATTATTTTTGAGTTTAATTAAGACACCTTTGTTTCTAAATTCTCATCAAGGTAAGAACGAATTGAAACATAGTACCCTAAAAACGAAATCTGACAAATTACACTATAACAAAAAGGTGAATAAACGTAAATAAAAAGCAGGCTTGATTTTCTTTATTCAAAATATTACTTTTCACTATAAAATGTCTAGTTTACAATGTGAATAACATTCAGAGTTTGTATTTAAGGTTGTTCAACTTCTAAAGCTCTGGATTTCTTCCTAATGGTTCTGTGCCAAACATTAAAGCGTACATAAACCTAGCAAACGTCTTAACGTTCTTGCTATAGCTGTAGCCTTGTTTGCGCTCTCTGTTTGTATATTTGTGAAGCGTATAAAGTGTTTTGTTAAGTAGATTTTGCACATTTTGTTAAGCCGCTGTCCTTCTCACTGTTGAACGGTCATCTGCGCTCATGAGGGTGTTTTCTTAAAAGTTAAGACTTTAGAATGTGTTGCCCGAGGCCAAAGAAAGCAGCACAGATAGAGACATGTTACCAGCTAAATCTTGTGAATGTTGTGAAATGTCTTAATTTATGTACAGTTTGTGTATTTTATTTTGGATATTTAAAGCCAAATGTTATTGTTTATAGCATCTGTCAGTCATCTGATGTGTTCTTTTTTAAATAAAATGTCTAAAATCTAAAGGTGTTTTCTTTCTATACTGAATTATTGTGTTTTGTAGCGCAAGGATTAACGCAACCATGATCCGCTGAGTGACGAGGAACATCTCACACCTTTCAGGAAACCTCTAGAGACACTGGAATGTAGAAATTGTCGGTCACACCCAGTTGATTTTAACCGCAGCCTTTCCACAAACCTGAAAATCGATTTCTGCATACAAACTTTATGACTTTTATATAGCACCATTTTAGCTCAGAGATCAGTCAACTCTTAAGATATGGCTCCCGAAAGGGTGTGTGGGTACATGTCATGGCATCAGCCTCATTCCACTCATTCCCGGGCAGGTGTTATTAGTGGAAATGCCAATGAATGGCACACAGACTTCAGACTGTGTTCCTTTGCCCACACTATAATGAAGAGATCTGTCTGTTGAAAGAAAGAGACACAAGTATCAACATACAATTTTTATCGTCATACTAGCGTAAATATTCATACTTGTATGCAATTTCTTTCCTATCGAGAGAAGTTGAGTGGAAATCATTCATGCCCTTACGCCTGATTCACACGGGCCTTCAGCGTCAACGCTTGACAAAATTAGTCCGCAATCTGCTACTGTCTGAGCTGGGGTATTTGCATAAAGTGATCTGATTGGCTGACGCTTCCGTTGGGGCTAGAAAAGTTGAGAATTTCCCAACTTCTACAGCGAGCAATGCCACTGAAGTGCTGTCCACAAATCTACAATTCACTTGAATTGTTTAGCAACACTTGACATTGTCCATTCTAAGTGAATGGGAATTGTTGACGCTGACTCCCCGTCTGAATGGGGCGTTATGGTCATGGCTTTTACTATGTGAGAGGAACTTGCGAATTGAGCAGCTACTGATCATTTTTAAACATGTAATAAATGAATTGTGGTTGAACTAAACTGATGCATCATGCATGACAGAGTCGTCAGAGAAAATTGTTTACAATAGACTATGGAATAGTCTACAAAGGTAAACTAGTACACAAAGGTCTCCATACACCCCCCCCCCCCCAATTCAAAGCTCATATAATTCATAGACATACACTACAGAACATTTAGCTTACCCAATTCACCTATTTACCTTATTCTCTGCCGACGAGCTGGCGCTGCCATTTGAATCTTTTTGTCTCATGACTTCCGGTCACATTCACTTCCATTCATTTTTTGACGTTAAAAACTGCTTGTTATGCTGCTTAATGTTGCAATTTGATATTTTCTTATTATATTATTCTACTTGGACTGTGTAGTCATGCAAACATTTGTTTGTAGAGCAAGTAGTTTGACCATTTTCTGCCGTTTATTATTCCTAGTCATTTCTCCCAAAGGCGACTGAATCGGAAGTTCTAAGACAATCGCGAAAACAGGCGCACTTCAGGTCAATAGCGCATGTCTTTGTATTTGTGGAGGAAACCGGAGCACCTGAAGGAAACCCACCCAAACAAGGGGAGAACATGCAAACTCCACACGGAAATGCCAACTGACCCAGCAACCTTCTCGCTGTGAGGCGACATCGCTACTCACTGCGCCACCGCATCTCCCACAGCTCATATCAATAGCTGGTAGAAGAGATAGAGGGAGGCTCTGAAAGCAATCCTTTATCCATGTTTTTGGTGCAGAATTTCTTGTGACTGCTTCAGACATTACAAGGTCATAAAATCGTATCATAGATCATTGTGTCTGAACAATTTCAACCTAAACTCACTTGTGATGTATGCACGCAAAAACAATCTTCAGACCATCAGAAAAAATCCTCTTCTGATGGACGAATCATAGTCAATTGCCAACGCCTAGTCAAGGCAGATAATTAAGATGCCGACGTTAAGTAACGAAATGAAGCATTCCTACAAATTCAGTCATTCCCAAGCCCAATCCATGGCTGAGCTCCAGGAGACTGATTGAAAAAGACACGGATACAGAAAGTAGGAGCTGGCCTGATGCCTGCCAGACACTCTTGAATAAGTTATGCATGTGGAGGTCAAAAGCCACGGGTCTGTGCACTAATAGAGGCGATCAGAGATGCCAGATGGGAGAAATCCCTAAAAGCAGCTGGGAGCGCTCCCATGGGGAAGAAAACTGGGCTTTCCAGGCAGATGTCTTTGTAAAAAAAAAAAAAAAACTAAGTCTTTTCAATAAACATCACTGTTTGAACTAGATCAGAAAAGTCTGAATAATTTTTAAGTCGGTAGACTGAGATCACTTTAATACTTGAGCAAATCATACCGAAAATTTGTTTGATGTTTATCCTCAAAAACATTAATACAAAGTATTAAATATAGTTTAAAAAGCAGCAAAAAAACAAACTTTGTTCATCACAGGAAACGTATTCCGACTGAGCATGTCGACCCACTAAGTGCTTCAGGTGCGAGCGCAGATGGGGAGCAGGATCTGAATGAATGCGTCAAAACACACACACAAAAAGCATGGGGCTACGAGACATCTTTCTTTCAAAGGGATCCTGGCAGGATATGTGCGTGCGCTAGCGTGTTTTTTTGTCAGACTTCTCAAAAGCCCCCATTGTCATGCAAAATGAAAAACCGACAAATTCAAAAAGATTCCGCCGGCGACGCAATTAATGCGCCGCGCATAAATAGACATTTGAAACTTGGCAGGAGACAAAAGGACTGGAGCTCTGAAAGAGGAAAGACCGCTGCAGCGTGGACAGAAAGAGGGGGCGGTTGGTGTATTTGGCTTCAGTGAGTGTAGTTGGTTAACGCTTGTCGTAACCCTGTGCAAAAAGGGCGCAATGGGGTGGAACGGCCACTAAAGGAGGGGGACAGGGGTCGGGCACCCCCCTTCACCCAAATACTGGCGTGTGTCTGCCAGGCGGATGCGTGCATCTGGGGGGCCTGCAGGAACACAAAGATCCCACATTAGCTTCCACTGGTTGCCCCCCATGGGGATTTACTTCTAGGGTCTGGACCAGAAGCGTCCTTTCCAACCGTCCACCTACTATAAAGCTAATCCCAACTAAATCAATGAACTAACGAAAATGTTATTTTGCCCCGCAGGAACCTCCTGCTAAGTACATTATGTTCATTATGCACAGAAAAAATTGGACCCTCCGGCTATGTTTAAGCTGAGGTTTATTGCCCAAGCAAGACAACAACTCCCATTATTTAAGAAATGCAAGAAATTTGTTGTTGTCGACATGGGCAGGCAAGTCAAAGCAACACGTTGGTGAAAAGCGGCCACAAAGAGACACAGTTTGGGCCTCCTTTGACCACAAGCAGCTGAAAATGCTGATGTCTAGGTGCGTCTGTGGTGTCTGTGTGCAGGTACTTTCCTACAATTGAGTCGAGATGTGATCTGTGAGGAACGTTAATGGTTCCAGTGGTTCCCGTGGTTTAACTGAAGGGAGCCAATAGGCAATGACATAAACAGCATTTAAGGCAGGCCTCAAGGTGTGTGAAGCAACACAGAAGTTACATTTATGAGCACTTTGACTTGTGTGTTGCAAAATGTATAATTCATTTTTGCTTGCCTGAACGTTGGAAATGTTTTTAAAGTCTGAAGTTGAACCAATCTATCCAACCTAGAACCAGAACCAATAGAGTTGCTCAGAACAGTTTGATATAGGCTTGAAACCTAGACTGGAACCATGTTGCCCACACTATAATAAAGAGATCTGTCTGTTGAAAGAAAGAGACACAAGTATCACCATAGTGAAAACGCATAACTTTTTTTAAATTGAATTTTGGAGAAACCAACCAGTTGTTCTTAAGGCCGGCTTACACAGTGTGATTTTATCGTCATACTAAAGCAAATATTCATACTTGTATGCAATTTCTTTTCTATCGAGAGAAGTTTTGTGGAAGTTATTCATGCCCTTACGCCTGATTCACAACGGCCTTCAGCGTCAAGGCTTGACGGAAGGCGTGTCTGAAGTTGGGGCTGACGTAATCATCACAGCAGCATCAGCCAATAAAATAAGTCAGCAATCGACTATTGTCTGAGCTGGGGTATTTGCATAAAGTGATCTGATTGGCTGACGCTTGTAAAGTTGAGAATTTGTCAACTTCTATAGCGAGCAATGGCGGTGAAGCGGCGTCGATGGGTTGTTGCTAGAGCGGATACGTTTGCGGCCGGAAGTTAACGCGAATTATTTCTATTATTTATAACATTTCTCATTTGTTGTATTTTATTAACGTCTACCCCCACCCCAACCCTAAACCCAACCGTCACAGTAATGTAAAAACTGTAGTTGTACCGAGTATTAGTTATGTTATCTATTACCCAATAAAATTTATTTTTTAACGCCTACCCCCACCCCAACCCTAAACCCAACCCTCACAGTACTGTAAAAATATTAATTATTGTTATCCAGTGTCATAAAAAAATGCTGCTTTATTAATGTGCATATCGCACTTCCGGCCGGCCCCATATCCGATCTAGACTTTACCGCGTCAATGAATCTACAGTTCCATTCGGCAACACCTGACATCACTCATTCAAAGTGAATTGGAAGCACTGATACCCCTAACGAATTGGGCATTACGGTCATGACTTATACTATGTGAGTGGAACTTGCGAATTGAGCAGCTACCGATCATTTTTAATGTTGGTGGAAAGGGGGATTCTGCTTGCTTCCTGAAGTGTTATATAGGATTTCTAGGCAAGTACTCCAACATTCGCAATGGTTCCTAAGGCTTTTGTCTGATTTCTTGGCCGTTTCAAGAGTTTTCTAAGTGGTTGCTAGGCAGAGGTTTTCTGAATGGTTGATAGGGTGGCTGCTTCAGTTGTAATAGTTATATGCACAGATTTAGTAAAACCGAAATGGTTTAGTTCCCTAGTATATATAGTATGTGAAAAACAGTACGAATAGCCCAATAGCATGTCTACCTGGATGACCTACGGGATTTAATATGGATCTACAGATATTTTCATGACTATATATGGCTGAATATCCCTGTAGCCATAAACATCAACCCAAGCAATGGAGGACATTCGAAAAGTGGCTATAATTTTTGTTAATGGATGATGAGGAAGCATAA